CAGGATTATTTTTACTGTCTTCATAGAATTGGAATTGCTGTTGTAGGGCAGTGTTGGTGTGTTTGGACTGATGGTGTCAACAGCTGTGCCCGTGTGTTGCAGAATGAGGATTTAGATTCTGAAGTATCTTTTAAAATGATCGACTTGTGAGATGAAAAATCCCTCCCTTCAACATTTACACAAGCATGGCACACTAAAACAAATAATAGCTGGATTCAACTTGAAATCTTAGTTTTTGACAGTTGTTTTAATTTATTTTTTTAGTTCGACACGCATTGTACAATTTTTCGGATAAGGTTATAATTGACAATGTATTTCTAATTGTCTTAACTCTAATGTGGCAGTTTATTGATTGGCTTTTATATTATTTGACCTTAAAAGTAACAAATGTGAAATGAAACCCAAAAAGCATTGAAGACTGATTGTGATCTGATCGGCCAGACCACCTCCAGCGGTGGTCTGGGTCCCTTTGCGACCACATTGAACGCAAGTGTAAATGCTTTTGCGTTTACAAATCCATATACAACATCTACGTAAGCGGAAATGCATTTCACGTGCAACTTTTCCAAACCAGCGAGTGGCCATGAGTCAGTGAGCGAGCTAAGCTACTGACCACAACTGAAATACAAGCAGCTGCATAAAACAGTGCCACGCCGGAGTTCCCACAGCCAGTTATTCCGAAACCCCAATAGTCCGAAATATGTACCATTGCTCCAAAAATACAAACTCTCCATGCACCAAGCCGAAGCACATGGCTAACTATTATACAGAATGACATCATCGGACCTTCTCGACCCGCCTTTCGCTGCCTCTGATTGGCTTTCCCTGATATTCTTACCCTAACCAATTTCACGTCATGCCATAACTTGACCAACCCAACCAACAAAGGCAAATGGCGACTGGCCGATTGGAGGAAGAGAAAGGCAGGTCATACCTTCACCACGGTATGAAAAACAATAGTGAAGGTAAAGACATAAAGCCGTGTTATATAATAATTAGCCATGTATTTCTGTTTGTTGAAGGGAGAGTGTGCATTCTCGGAGCAGTGAGCATTTGTTTTCAGGCTGTGGGACAAATGGGCTTTCGGACCAATGGGACTTTTTTCGGACATTTGGGGATTTCGGAATCATGGGCAGTCCCCCATAACACAGCATTGTCCTCTGCTCTCCTCGCATTCTTACCTCACCTCGAAAAGCAAGCAAAGGTCCATAATGATGACTACCGCCTTTTTTTTTCAACATTTACCACTTTTTTTATATTTTGAAAACACGTTACGTTTTTCATATACATGGCAGAGAAATCAATGTTCTCCAGAAGAAATCATTATAACGAAGATAGAAGACCTAGTTATAGGAAACATTGACGTCCCTCTACAGCCTGCATTAAAATACACCTTGTATCCAGATATGATTCAACCTGCTTACATTTACACCATATGTGTCCATATGTCAGTCCGATTGCTCTGTGTCTAGCTCAAACTACCGAATGGGTCGAGTGAGCGATTAAGTGAGGACTCTGCCGTGACCGGAGTAGCGCGTCAAGTATGTAGCTTAGACTTTTGTGTTTAAAGCAGCACAATTCCTCTGTCTCCCACTTTGAAGCTTCCTCCACACATTTTTTTTTCCCTCCAAAAAAAGTGTCATGAGTCCACAAGTACTGTTTTTTTAAGGTGTTTGAAATTCTCTCTTCAGCTGATTCTTCCTGGAACTACTTTTCATGTGAACAACCAAGGGCCACCTCGTCAATGCCTTTGAGAAGAGTCTGTCTAAAAGCCTTTTCCCTGTTTGTACGATTCATTGCAGTGATACTACAAAGACACAGAGTTGACTGAGAGATCAGAGAGAGAGAGTTCACGCTGCATAGTTTGAACCCCGTAATGGTAGCTGCTTCGAGTCTGTAATGGACAAAAAGCTCACGCATAGTAGGCCTTGACTTCAAGTAAGTGACTGAATTCTGCCACTCTACTTTGTGTGTGTAAGAGAGGTGGCAGTGTGTCGCCATGCCATCTGTGTGTGTTTGGCCTGGTTCTCTGTGTTTACCTGTTGAGGACAGCAGTCAGCTGTTCAGGCCGGCTTTCCTAATGAACCCTGTAATTAGAGCTAGGTTTGTCTGCTACACCGTGTGTGTGTGTGTGTGTGTGTGTGTGTGTGTGTGTGTGTGTGTGTGTGTGTGTGTGTGTGTGTGTGTGTGTGTGTGTGTGTGTATTAACATGTAGCTGAATGAGCCTGGATTGTTTCACGTTTGCGTCTGTTCTGTAAATAAAGTTATTTTTGAGTACAGGCAGTTTTGTTTTGAAACACATATTCCTGAATCAAATTACAGGACGGTGTGAGACGAGCTGCTCTAGCTGCAGCTTCTTTAGCTCTTTATTTGCAGCGCTTAACCAGATTGCCCGGCAATAGTCAAGTTGAGACAATCCCAAGGCTTGCTTAGTGGTACTTAGTGTAAAGAAAGATTCCCCTCTCGCCAAACATGCTTGATATTTGCACTTAAATATTAGGCAGTTTAGCTAATCAAGCTACCACAACCAACGAGCTAATAGCCAAGTGTAGTTTCAAATGAAGGGAGGGGTAAGCTAGTTGTCTCAAATCACATTTAATTGGATGCATGTGTTTATATGCCAAGAGTGCAAAATTAGTTATCAAAAATGCTCATCAGACAGAAATTAGATATCATTTGATGTAAAAATGCTCGGTGGGACACGATATAGAAAATGCATATTGCTTATCCAGAGAGCTGATTGAAATCCAGAGACTCCACCTGCCAGACTAAACTGGAAATGAATGAATCCTTTTTACTTTTCTACCAGCACTTTCTGTTGTCACATTAATGTGCTACTGTACCGTCTCCATGTCCCTTGGCTTTCTCTGTAGTCTTCCTTAAAGTTTAGTTCCACATTCGGTCTGCTTTGTTAGAAACACTTTGTGGTAGATCTTTCTTCTCAAGCCAAAAGAACCAGTTCTGCTGCAAAGACGACAATTAACCCCTCGCTAAGTCCCGCCCCTCGGTGCAGACTGGCCAGTAACCGATCAGCGTCCGTCAATCATCCGACTCTGCTCCATAGACTCTCATGCGATTGTATCAGGTCTTGGATGCATTTGGAGCAAGCCATGGTTAGATGTTGGGTAATAGTGATACTCGTTTACACTGTGATCCGTAGGCTTTAGATTCTATCTCTTATCTTTTAGCCGCTGAATCAGTTTCACATCCCGGATACGTCCCTCAAACACCGTACATAGACCCTTCTGTCTGCTTCTCTCTGGAAACCAAAATTTAATTCATAGTTTCTTCAGGGAGTGCAGTCGGTTAGCTCCAGTCCTGTCTGGAAGCCAAAACCAACACCATGCTGTGGGAGGCCAAGGCCTGCTGGAGAAAAGGGAGGCCCAGGGGAGCCAGGACTGAGTGGTGCAGACTGTCAGACCCTGCTGTTGGTAAATGAGAGCTTCCCTAAAGGGATCGTCTGTGAACATTGTGACACCAATGTAATGTGACTTGTTATAACTTTAAACAGACGGAAAAGGGAAACTTGACTGAGGTTCTGCCGGGCTCCGATCTTACTCAATTGTTATTGGAGCACAGAGCCTAAAGGGGCGCGACTCAAAGGGTCAATTGTGGATTAACTTGACCAATGAATGACATTTCTGCCTCCAGCACCAGCCTGCACTGCCACAGTGCTACCAAGGTGCTGTGGGTGCTATTGAAATAACTTGGCTGTTAAATGTTAATTACTGCCTCAAAACAAACTGCTATTACCTTTGAAAAAAGCTGACTGTGCTTTATTGATGTGTGCTGACAGAGTGGAACCCCAGTTCATAGATCAGCTTTGGAGAGGCTCTGTGCCTGTTGGTGTGTGCTTGTTATTTTCACTTTCTGGCTGCATGACTTCCTGCCTCTGCTTTCTAGATAACTGCTTTTATGCCATAAAAATGTAATTCGCTTTGGCAAGTCTTCTGCAACACACACTCACACACGTCCACACTTGCATCCTCACAATGGGGCTCTCTTAGTGCCTCTGTCGGTGCAATAACGTGCTTTCACTGATGAGATGGCGAGGAAGGAAAGAAGAGCGAGGCAGTTCAAAAGGGAAAGGGGAGAGATGTTTGGAAAAGCTCTTCAGCTGACCGCCGCTTTAGAGCTCTGATGAGAACCATGATGTTTAAAGTGGAACGGTAGTGAAGAAGATGATTATCACGCAGATAATAGCCATGATGATTCTCACTTGTGAAAGTTTACAAAGCTTTTCATCTTCAACTTAAAATGTGATGTCAAGTAAATGCAAGACAACATATAACAAATAACTACGAACAAAGTCAACAAGCATCTTATGCTAATGAGGCTCTGGTCTAGAAGAAGAAAATCTAAATTTGACTTAAGGCCTTACACACCGGGGACGCGACGAATAAATGACACAAAAATGCGAAATACTTGCCTGAGAATATTATACTTCGAGAGCTCTTATTGTGAAAGTTAAGAACGGAAGTTTTAGATCTGGTATGCGCTGTCTTGGTCAAGATGGAAAGGAATTATAAAGTTTACCGTCTTGGTTTTGACTACGGAGCAGGCAGTAACCTCCGGGTTCTGCCGAGTGAAGCCGATGAAGTGTCTTAAAGCTGCATTCTCTCTACTGACCACCAGGGAGCGACTCCTCTGGTTGTATAGAAGTCTATGAGAAAATGACTCTACTTCTCTCTACACGGCGTCTCTACGTCAATCCTCCACATTGCAAATATGCTCACTTCTGTTCATTGGTTAAAAAAAAAACCATCGGTCCACAAACCAATGGGTGACGTCATGATGACTACGTCCACTTCTTATATACGATATATATGGAGCCTCTGTTGTTGTTTCATGATGATGGGCGCAACTTAACCCGTTCTGTACCACGTGTTTGGTTAATGCCTCTATAGAGTCTCACAACGACTCTATAGATTTCTAATATTGGTGATCCGAAAACCTCTGTGATGATGATGCTGATGATGATGATGCGTCTTCTTTTCCAGTGCCTGGCTGTGTGGGAGTCCTTCCTTCTGTCTCAGAGAGTGGAGCCCGGCGAGCAGAGAGATGGGGAAGACGCCTCTTAAAGTGTGGAGACGTCTCCACAGCAGACTCTCTGTTGTCTCTCCAACACATCCAAATATAGACTCTGAACCGATGCCCACTCACTCACACATGCATCATGTACGAAAAACAAGCGCTCTCTCTCTTTCTTTCTTTCTGTCTGTCTGTCTGGCCAAAGAAGTACATCCCAGCCCACCATTCCAGTGACGATTGTGCATCACTAAAACCAACACTGAGATCCAAATATCCACATTCTGGTGTTTACAGTCGACCGAGTGGTTTGCCAAAAGCTAAAAGAAGGCTCGCGGCTCTTCTGGCTCTACTCTGCTGCTTTGTTGTGCATTATTTTTGGTGGATACAGGAACTGTAGAAACCCAAACTAATAATGCAACCAGGTCTCCAGCTCCACTCCACTAATTGGAATTTTCTATCAGGAAGTTGTACTCAACTGACCAAGTAAGAGTGGTGAACTCTAGACCTCTAGTTGAAGGAGTATTGTCACTAATTGTATGCATTTGAACCATAGATGGAGGAATCGTAGATACAAATCATCATAAAATGCATATTAAACATACTTAAACTGCTTATAGCACTGTTTGTTTTTGCAGGGATCATAGTGTATTATATGCCCATAGTTTAAGTATTACATTATAATCATTTTCTTATGCATTTTTATAACTGTAATAATGCATTATAATGTGATTATCAGTTACTCTCAGTGGTCATTGGGTGCTCTAAAGGGGAACAACGGCTTTGTTTACAACAGTGATATGATTCTGGAGGCTTTATAACATGGTGTTCTATACTGCAACCTGCTCATGTGGGCGCATACATCAGGAAACCACAACGGTAAGGAGGTCACCGTCCACGGCATCTTCCGACCCACCAGCCAGACCTGCAGGACCAAACACCACCGACGGTGGATTTGACCGCCCCAGGAGGAGAGTGGAGATGGAAGCTAAGCTAACCCAGCTAAGTCCTGAGGCTATTCCACTACCCAGCATGCTCCTGGCTAATATCCAGTTGCAAGAACATAAAATGGATTAAATTAAGAATCCAGAGAAGTGGCTCCATCGTGGTGTCCCGGATCAAGCTGCGCTTGCGGGACAGAGACCAGGACCCCGGTGGGACCAGAGGAGGTGGACTCTGTTCACATCAATGATGCTCAAATGCAGTCAAAGTTGATGGACAACGTTTCCCTGTTGTTGCAATTTGAATGTGAAGATGTCGGCCATATTGACCAGAGAATATTCTATTTATATTCCTCCTGATGCAAATTCAAACATGCGCTACAGGAATGCTCTTTTGTTTTGGTTTTGTCATAGTAGCAATAGTTGCTGAGCAGCAAATAGATTTGGGCAGAACCAAAGGACGGCACTTTATAAACCATATTGGAAGAACAGAGAGGAGTCCGAGGGACAGGACACCGTCTCCCTGCTTATAGAATAGACATGAAGCAGATTCAGACAGTGACAGCATGTTTATCTAAATTCTATACTCCATTCTTACCGCCATAGCAGGCAGTTAAATGATTCAGGGATCATTTATTGTCAGATCTGTGATGACTAAAAAAGTACTTTTAACACAACTGAGTGATGAACATTTACTCTTCACGAATATATTTCACCAAAAACTCTCTAAAGACCTAATTGAGACAAATGATATATAATTCCTAAAGCAATTCTCCTTTACGTGTATATTCATACAGAGCTGTAAGCTGATTATAACACATCCGTATGTTTATAACACATAGACGGTGTTGATGGTTCCAAGGTACTTATCTGTGAATGGAGTGTGAAAGTTCATTCAATAGTTTGACAACAATGGTCCTTGGAGCTCCACTAGCTAGCTGTGAGTCCTGGTAGAAGCTAGTCAGGGACCTTTGTGTGACTGTTTTCCTCTAAAGACCAGAATGCTGTGCGGCTTTAAGACTTGATCAGCAGTCAGATAGATCAAAAAATGGCGTCTTATCTCTTTTCTTAACTTTTCCTTGACCGTGGGTATTATTGACAGACAAATGGTGCGTCGCTTTAAATGTTGCTGCCTCAAGGAATTTTGGGATTTACATCATTTCATTTCCTTTGGTGAAGGATGGTCCAGTGTTCCCTGAACTGAAGGATATAAGGGAGGAGGGATTAAAGCACCTTTCCTTGGCGTCTAGAGAGTTGGACCGGCTCTTATCACGGCTGCCACGTAGATTCTTCTGGGTCATTTCACTCATTTAGGAAAGTTCCTGAGCAAAAACGATAGCTAGACCACAGCATTGGTTTTAACAAGAGGTCGGCCGGACAATGGTCCAATCCAACAGACGTGGGCTGTTGGGAATGGAAATGATTTTTGGGCACAACATCTCATTTATTCGACAACTTCTACGATGTGTTCCGTGGCATTGACAGTGAACCTGAAACCGCTCCTCCTGTCCATGTGACCTCCGGCTAGACACTGAACCCCAAATTGCTCCCGTCGGCGTACGGATGGGTGTAGTTGTGAAACCCTGATAACATTCAGCAACATGGAGGGCTGGATGAAGTGCAAACACCGACACAGAGCACACGTGGTGTCTTTATACCACATTGTTTTTTCTACATTGGATGTTCGTGTTTTAACCAAGTCACAGCAGGAACCTCTGATCGCCTCATCTGAAGCAGTGAGCATCTCTAATATTCTGATTCTTGCACAAGTCAATGATCAAACTCTCTCATTCAAAATATGATTGAATAGAAACGCCTTTGTCTGTATGTTCTCTTTTATGTACTGAAGTGGAGTCAGAGTAGACAATAAAACATAAACTCATAACACAAAGTTGCTGAAGAAATGCATTGAACATGACACACAGATGTCTACATCCATCTGAAGCCACGTCCAGGCCAACATGTAAGACCAGAATGCCATGAATCACACAGGACCGGTCTCCTGTAGAGCTTTGAGCAGAGGAGCCTCAAAAGCTTCATGAAACAATAATTCAGAATGTTTGGTTGTTTGTGCCGATGAGAGATTTCACGTTGACTCGTCTGCAACGTCTCTGTAACAGAATGCTTGAATAATCTTTTTGTACTGATATCGTACTGATATCTTTGTCTCTTTATTGCTTTTAGCATTTTTGAATATGTGAAAGAAAAAGTATGAATAAAATGGATTTTGAGATGTTGAGATAATAAAGACGAGGCCTCACTATACACTGTTTCACTTCCTGTTTGTAGACTGTAAAGTTTTGTTGCTCACACCTCTGACACCGGGGAAGAACTGGATAAACAACCTGCAAAAAAGCAAATGTTTTAAGCAAAGTGTCTCGCACAGCTGTGCCGGTCGGCAGGCCTAATCCTGAATGCAGCGGTTATGTTCATTATTCCTCCTCCGTGACAGCGGATGGATTGAAACGTCTTTTTAGGAGAATGTTTTTAGAGCACACATGATTATCGCTCCAGTGCTGAACTGAAAAGGCTCGCTTTTCCTTTTTTTTTATATAAATAAAAAGGTTTATGCCGTAAGGGGGGAAATGGTTTGAGTTTTGCTTCACACAAAAATGTAGTTTATCCTTTTCAAGTGCAGAAGATTTGCTCCTCAGATTGAAGAGCAGTTAAGTGAAACACTTGTCATTGTGTCCTTACGTTTCCACCTCATTGTTCTTAAACTTCCAGCCTGTTTCTAAACTGAATGCAGAGTTTAAAAGTATCTCAAAAACATACAAGAGCTGAAATAGATTCAGTTTAACATCGGTTCAAAGAGTGATGAGCAACATTAGCATTCATTGTAAGTTTCTGGTCATCTGATAATTGTGAGGTGGATCAGTGCACGTGTAGGAACACATTTCCAACAAGGACTCTTCAAAGTGAACTAACTTTTTTAACCCGACCCACCAGACGGTTCAGAAACCTCAGAGAAGCCTTCATTGAAAAAGGGCCGACATTTTCACAAAGTATTTAGCAGGTGATTGGATGAACCATCTGTCAATCAAAAGGGATGCTGATTGGTCCATGTTCTGTCTTAGCGTACATGAGAAATAAATGTGTTCATCACTTATCTAGTGGAGTTAAAGGTCAACTGGACTTGGATGAAGTAGCAGATGCTGAATCTATTTTTTTGTGTCGAAAATGGCTTTATTGGCTCAAAACTCACTGTATATTTTTATTACATCTTAGCACAGTTGCATAAGTCGTGTATCATCATCATATCTTTAGGCTATTATTAAAACTATACGTAAATATCTGTTCTTTATACCTGATTGTATTTGGTGATCAACTCGTGCTCTCCTGCTGATGTATCGGCTCCTTTGGCTACATTGTGGTTGTAATGTTTTCAATGATTTCATTACTTAATGCATGTGGTTTGTCTTTCTTTTGTCAATTGTCCGTCTGTACTTGTGTTTCTATTTCTTTATTTAATCTCTTGTTTTGGATCAGTTGTGATATACGTTGGGACCCCCTCAAACACCTGATGGTACATCAAAGTCAAGTCACTGGCCAGCAAACACACACAGCTTCATTCGAGGTGGCACGAAACATGAAGCAAGCCCACATGTTGAGTGATCTTCTGTAATAAGGAGGCTCCTCACTGACAGTGATTTTGTCGGGGATACAACAACACAGCACGTTGGCCGGAGAAGCCAAGCATAACTACCCACTAACAACACATCCATTTGAGGAGAGTAATAGAGTTTTGGATCAGTTTCAGTCCAAGTGTAATCAAGCGTACCTGCCTAACAAATGCTCTATTCCAATCAGTGCTGATGCTATAGGTCCATTGAAGCGATACATTCCTCAGTGCCTTCTTTATTTACAGTTCCCTGCCTTATGGAGCTGTACTGGCAGTGTCTACACATCCCAGGATGCATTGCGTGCGAGCTACTGACCCCTCGCCAAAACATAGTGTGGTCTTGGTGCGTTTATTCTTATGCAGATAATACAACAAGAACTCTGACGCTGACGCTCCGTAGTCTGAACCAAGACGGCAACCACTCTTTACAACGTCAACAGCTTTGGGAGTTTTACAGCTTCACTGCTTTCGTTTTCACCTTTCCACATAAAAGCACAACTTAAATACTCTTAGCATTTCACTAAGAGTTGTCAGAAATACTCAACCTTTGTTCTAAGATTCATAAGCATCATGTAAACTAGAGGAGATCCTGACCTCAACAGGAGCCAGTGTGGTCCCACCGATTGGCTTCTCTTCCTCCATGAGGACAGCTACACCACTGCAGACATATCTCCGCTGGTCAACACGTCCATCATATGGTTATGGGATGGGATGAATGCACCGCTCGATTTGCATCAGGACCCAATTCCACCATGTGCCCAAATCAAATAGCAAGATTCCATTGATCATTTGGATAATAACAGCCAAAGTATGTCATTTTGGTGTTGTATTGCCTGTGGCAGTTTCCTATAGAAAACAACCATAATGCCTCAGTACAGCTCCTTAACATACATGGTCTTAATGTACATGAAGTGAACTATCAGAGTCCTGAAAGCAGCCGACAGCATCGGTTGAATTGACAACAGGTAACAGTCCTGGCTGCCTCAGAAAAAAACATTGAGGCAAGAAAGCTTTTAGCAATAACTGGCGAGGACTGTGCAGCTGTACATGTGCTGCCACTAAGTAGGTTATCCTACACGCTTAATCAAATAAAATACTAAAGAGCGTACTCTAAATAAAGCGGTGCCTTGAAAATGAGGCACTCCACAAGCGCTTGTTCCTAATGCAGCGGGGGGGAGAACACGTGTTTCTACATGTACATACAGCAGAGGTTTACACTGATGTTAAGTGTGTTGATGACTGCTGGGTCTATTCACTGTGCCCTGCATGGAGGTCTCTGTAGAGAGAGAATCATCTTCTTTGTACGGAGTTAAACTGTGCACTAGTTGTTTGAGGCTTCTGATTGTGATTCGTTGAAATGTAAACGGTCTTGTGATTTCTATGATTCGTAATGTCATCAAGTTCTTGCTGATCCAAATCAACAATGAATGTATGAAGACCAGTGGAATGCAGTGGCCACGCTCCGCGTGACTGAGCCTGGTGGGGCAACAGCTCTATCCTCTGGTTGTGTTTAGAAGGAGGCCCGCGTAGCCACAAACATGTCGGATGATCTTATTTCAGTCCTCTATGATGCAGTGATGTTTGCTAAATTCCAGGCTGTTCCCACTGTTACATACTGAGGTGCATTGGTTGTCATGGAGCAAAGTGTTGACAAGACAGTTTGAACTGTGACACGACAAATAAAGCATTTGTTTGATGACAAAGAGAACCTCAACTAACTCACCGAGCATTTACGCAAGTCCTTCCCACATGTGGACACATGGATTCACAACCCATTTGAAGCTCCACACACACTAATGTTGCAAGATAGTCAAATACAAACATTTGGATAAAGCACATCCAATAACAACAATAATGACAAAAATACATTTTAATTAATAAAAGAATATAGTAACAATAACACTGATTTCTCTGTGGATGGTGGGCCCTAGGACCTACTAATAGCATTTAATGCTCCAGTGAAACATTGCAATATTACTATTACTACAAAATGTTATTTTGTAATTTCCACGGGTCTAAAATTGTGCACATAAAACAACACAAGTGAAGAAGATACACATTACAGAACCCTGCACATGTTAAACTGCACTCTGCAGGAAACTCTCTCACTGTACAATCAGCTGACCGATGCACCGTCTCCATTAAAGAGCAGGTTGTTCCACAAACCACACGGCCGGTATCTTCCCTCTCTTGCCTCATCTCGTGGAGCCTTCGGGCAGCACATATGGACTCATGGAGCGTGCCTCAGGTGGAGAGAAGGGTCCTTCATGGCTCCTGGCAGAGAATGAATGTTCTATTAGCCTAGATGAAGACAGGCATGCTGGTACTGTACGACATGCTGAGTGTGATGGAGTCAATCCAAGTCTGGCAGCGCTGAGGGGCCTCCTGAGGCCCCGGAAGTGTGGTTCTCCATGTGTGTGAATGTGAACATGTCTGCATGTGTCCCTGACACCCACACACACACATTATTAATGCATTTAACCATGCATGCCCTACTTCTTCTCTGTATGCTGCCAATTCGAGCAAGGCATATAGACTGTGACAATGTGTTTTATGTTTCAGTTCAGTCCTCTCGCCTAGAAATCATGTTAATGTACTTCTGCAAGAGAAATGTTTGCTGTCCACAGTACGTCTTTATCAACATAATGAGAACAAAAGAACTCCTTCACCTGCATTCAGAGATATTTAGTATATCTATATACGTATATATAGATATACTTAGTAAGACAATAGGAGAGCATGTCTTCAATAGGTTGAGAGACAATCAATTAGTTTCCCTCAGAAGGTTTAAAATCTCTCTAACATACGACATCCTCACATTGGATAAAGGACTCTATCTTTAGCTATGGTGATAAATCAAATTAGATCTGATTATTATAATATGATATGTTATTATGCATAGGCACTGAGCCAGTGAAACAACACAGCTGCCCCCGGGCCGTCTCAAATGAATGGAGGGAACATTGTGTAATCCGCGTGCAGCCATCTCGTCCTCCCCTGAACCACACAACGTGTTCTTAAAAATGAATCACCACATATTTCTGCAATATCTCATCCTCTGGACGCCGGTGGCCCAACTTGCTTCTTCTATTCCTGCCATCACGCAAGCCCTGCGTCCCACGCAGTGAGCCCCGAGGCTGACGGAGATCCAGACCCACAGTCAGCGTGACATAATACGACTTAATGGCCGCCGCCCACTGCTGATGAGGCGCAGGCATCGCCGCTTCACTGTGTTGTCTTTCTGCTTTCGTTTGGTCGGCCTGCCCTGACCCTGACCCTGAGATGAATGCAGTTCATGTGTTAGTGTGATTGTGAAGTCTGTCCCCTCCAGCAGCTGGGAGGAGCTCTCTGTCCTCGGCCGGCACTGAGAGGAAATCCTGCCTCCATTTTGTCGTTTTGTGTCTTTCTTTGCCCGGCACGAAATCAAGTCTGAAATCCTTCAGCGTGTGTAGACTGGACGCGGATGATTGCAAGAGCTGCTCATTGAGATCGATATGCAGCCGTCGTGTTAATGTGCAGCGACTCATCAACCACACAGCTCAGGGGCCCAAAGGGCCTCGTTAAGAATCTGGATGAGCGGACAGAAAAGAGATCAATCCGCCTCATAATTATATTGCACAACCTATGGCCCTGTAGCAGCGGTCATATTAGAACAGAATTAGCCCTTATCCTTAATTGGGTTCAGAGGATGACTCAAATAAACAACGCTACAGTAAAACCATAAAGAAAAGCTAAGTTATTTAAATAAAACATGGAAAATATATCATTGTGTTTTTAGGTTTCTTTCACCATGTTTATGGTAGATGTAAACCATGTTTGTGATATATATATATTTTGAGACATAGGCCTATTTACCTCCTTTCTGTGACTGAGATGAGTTAGGTTCTGTATCTCAGCACTGGGCTGTAAGACACAAGGTTTTTAGGTGCTGTTTTAAAGCACCTAAAAACGAGCT